TGTTTGTATTTTTAGTAGAGACAGGGTTTCGCCATGTTGGCCAGGCTGGTCTCAAACTCCTGACTTCAGGAGGGCATAGTGGCTCATGTCTGTAACTTTGGGAGGCCAAGGCATGAGGCCAGGAGTTCAAGACCAGCCTGGACACCATAGCGAGACCCCATCGCTACAAAAAATTTAAAAATTAGCCAGGCATCATGATATGTGTCTGTGGTCCTAGCTACTCGGGAGGCTGAGGCAGGAGGATGGCTTGAGCTCAGGAGGTCAAGGCTGCAGTGAACTGTGATCTTGCCACTGCACTCCCTGTGGGTGGCAGCACAAGACCTTGTTTTCCTTAAAGGAAAAAAAAAAAAAAAATGCTAAGAGTGGCTGGGTGAGGTGGCTCATGCCTATAATCCCAGCACTTTGGGAGGCCGAGGCGGGTGGATCACGAGGTCAGGAGTTCGAGATCATTCTGTACTAAAAATACAAAATTAGCTGGGTGTGGTGGCACACGCCTGTAGTCCCAGCTACTCGGGAGGCTGAGGCACGAGAATCGCTTGAACCCAGGGGGTGGAGGTTGCAGTGAGCCGAGATCACGCTACTGCACTCCAGCCTGGGCGACAGAGCGAGACTCCGAGACTCTGTCTCAAAAAGAAACAGAACAAAATTAGCTGGGCGTGGTGGTGCGCACCTGTAATCCCGGCTACTTGAGAGGCTGAAGCAGGAGAATCACTTGAAAACCTGGGAGGCAGAGGTTGCAGTGAGCCAAGATCGTGCCATTGCACTCCAGCCTGGGCAATAGAGTGAGTCTCCGTTTCGGGAAAAAAAAAAATCCTTAATCAGTCCATATTTCTGAATATTTTGCTTATTCCTACTGGCAGTGTAATACTCTGGTGAATATTTGCGTTCGAGATCTTCGCATTCCCGAGATTTCCCCAGCTCAGCCCTCTGGGCGGGTTGAACGGGATGAACTTTTTAAGGCTTCTCTTGTACTGTCAAGCTGCTTTTTGGAATCTTCGTCCCAGGTTTCTGTTCCAGCCAGCAGCCAGCATTAGCCGCCTGCATCCTGGTCCTCACGCCGGTGTTAATTAAAACCTTTGCCAATCTGGGCCGGGTGCGGTGGCTCACGCCTGTAATCCCAGCACTTTGGGAGGACGAGCGGGCGGATCACTTGAGGTCGGGAGTTTGAGACCAGCCTGACCAACATGGAGAAACCCCGTCTCTACTAAAAATACAAAATTAGCCGGACGTGGTGGCGCATGCCTGGAATCCCAGCTACTTGGGAGGCTGAGGCAGGAGAATAGCTTGAACCTGGGAGACGGAGGTTGCAATGAGCCGAGATCGCGCCATTGCACTCGGGCCTGGGCGACAAAGACCAAAACTCCGTCTCAACAATAACAACAACAAAAAATCCTTTGCCGATCTGGTAGAATTGCGGGGCTTATTTTATGGTGTCATGGAGCATAGCCTGGGGCCGGATATACCTGGGGCCCTGTGCTTGCTCTGCGAACTAGGAGCTCAGGTGAGACTAACCCGTGACAATAAAAGCGCTCGACAGTGCTTGATCCCTCTGCGGAGCTTATTAAGCAGGAGCTCCCTGCGCAGGCGCAGAGAAGAGGGTGCCGCCCCACCCCACGACCGGCAGGGGGCCTGCTAGGTGGGTGCGGAGCCAGGCAGCATGGTGGCCAATCGCGAGCTGAGGCGACGGTGGCACGCCCCTCATGCCGGCATCTTAACTGCGCAAAGAAAGGGCGCCGGGGACACCCGCTTGGGGTCTGCTTCTCCCCTGTGGGTTCCGATTCTCAACCCCTTGGGAGCGTTTGTGAGTGGAAGGGAGGTCACGCTATCGTCCGCGGCCCCAGCAGCCCCGTCCCTTCATTGGTTCCCGCGGTGCGGCTCCTTTAAGAGCCTCGCGGGTCGCCCGCCGGAGGTCGCTCCCCGGCCATGCAGGCGCTGCGGGCCGGCCTGACCCTGGCGTTGGGCGCGGGGCTGGGCGCGGCCGCCGAGGGCTGGCGGCGGCGGCGGAAGGACGCGCGGGCGGCGCCGGGGCTGTTGGGCCGGCTGCCGGTGCTGCCCGTGGCGGCGGCCGCTGAGTTGCCAGCCGTGCCCGGAGGACCGGCGGGCCGCGGCCCGGGCGAGCTGGCCAAGTACGGGCTGCCGGGGCTGGCGCAGCTCAAGAGCCGCGAGTCGTACGTGCTGTGCTACGACCCGCGCACCCGCGGCGCGCTCTGGGTGGTGGAGCAGCTGCGACCCGAGCGTCTCCGCGGCGACGGCGACCGACGAACATGCGACTTCCACGAGGACGACTCGGTGCACGCGTACCACCGTGCCACCAACGCCGACTACCGCGGCAGCGGCTTCGACCGCGGCCACCTGGCCGCAGCCGCCAACCACCGCTGGAGCCAGAAGGCCATGGACGACACGTTCTACCTGAGCAACGTCGCGCCCCAGGTAGCGCCCGCGCCCCGGGCCGGTCGCGGAATGCGGGGCGGGCGCCTGGCCTCTCGGGGCCTCGGTTTGTTCCTCTGCAGAACGGGGCAGCCGCCCAACGCGCCCCCGGTCAGGCATCGCAGTGACATCCCGTGACGGGAGAGAGGAGCACTGGGCTCCAGGCACAGGCTCTGCAGGCCGACCAGGGCTTGAGCTTCAACTGCGAACCCTGGGCACCTCCCTGAGCGTCGCTTTCTCGTCTAAAAAAATGGGGATGATACCGTTATTCACCTTCCTCCTGCGGTAGTGATGAGGCGCTGAGGCTCACAGAGGCAAAGTGATGGGCACAGTGCCACACAGCAGAAGGCAGACTGTCTGTTGTAGAACCTCAGCGCCCAACGTTTTGGGCACCAGGGTCGGGTTTCGTGGAAGACAGGTTTTCCACGGCTTGGTGGGTGAGGGCGGGTTTCAGGATGATTCAAGTGCATTACATTTATTGTACACTTTATTATTATTACATTGTAATATATAGTGAAATATACATCTCACAGTAATGTAGGATCCGTGGGAGCCCTGAGCTTGTTTTCCTCCAATCTATTCAGTTCTATCTGGAGGTGACGGCGATAATGCCAGATCAGGCATTAGGTTTTCAAAAGAAGCGTGCAACCTCCTCACATGCGCAGTTCACCTTAGGGTTCCAATGCCTATGAGAATCTCCAGCTGCCACTGATCTGACAAGAGGCGGAGCTCAGGCTGCCATGCGATCAATGGGGAATGGCTGTAAATACAGATGAAGCTTCCCTTGCTGGCCTTGTGCTCACCTCCTGCTGTGTGGCCCAGTTTGGTACCAGTCCGTGGCCCAGGGGTTGGGGACCCCTGGCTTATAAAACCGTGAGCCTCCAGACATCGTCCTACCCTGTCTGCCTTTGGGCAGTTTCAAGGCAGACACCTGACCCATGGTCAGGCTGTTAGTGCCAGGCACTGTGCACTGGGCCAACTGCCCTCTCAGCCTGTTCCAGCAGGTCCTGGCACCAAAGGATGGAGACTGCCATGGGGCTCTGGGTGGAGCCCATGGGGCACCAGCCTCTGACCCAGATTCCTTCTGGGAGCACAGCCCCCTACCACTTTCCATTGTCCGAGGCCTGGAGAGCTCAGGATGGAGGTCGATTCATGACATTCCCTCTAGGCTCTTCCTATGGCTCAGACTGGGAAAGGAACGGGTTGGTGGTTGGAAGGGCTGGTCTTCCATGAGCCCTGGGAGGGGCTGGGGATAGGTCTCAGTCCTTCTCTCTGAAAGGTGGAGACACGTCCTTCCTTCATTCGGCTCTTGGGAGCTGAGAAAAGACTTTGACAGCCGGGCTGTGGAAGGGACAGAGGGTGATGGCTAACACTTGTCAGCCCTGCCTGACTCCATGTGGTTTCAGAGAGTGACTTGCATTCCTTGAGTCTCAGTTTCCTCATGCTTGTCTCTCACTGGACATCTCTGAGTGTGTCCATCCCCTCAGGGCCTGGGGCAGCCCTCTGATAGAGGAGGAAGGGTGCCAGCCACAGTTCTGCTAAGCCCTACCTCTCCTGCCAGGTACCCCACCTCAACCAGAATGCCTGGAACAACCTGGAGAAATACAGCCGCAGCTTGACCCGCAGCTACCAAAACGTCTATGTCTGCACAGGGCCACTCTTCCTGCCCAGGTAAGGTGGAAACCAGGGGGCCGGGGGGGCAGCAGAACCTGCCACTCACAGGGCCAGGCTCGCCCCAGGCTCTGGGTCAATACCAGTTCCCTACTCATCTGGTTTCCTGGCAAGCCTGTCAGCTTTCCTGCCTCGGGTCCCCTCATTCCACTTCCACAGCTCAAGACCTGTCGGGTACCCCGACCATCTCTCCTCTGCCCATGGGCAGCAGCAGGCCCTGAATCTGCCCCCGCTTCTCCCTGCTGTCACCTCTTGGCATGCCCAACCGATCCTGTTCTGCCCATATGGAAACCCCTGCAGGTCCCCGGTGCACCGAGCTTTCCCACCTTCAGTCTCTGCTCTGCTTGGAGCACTTTCCTCACCCTTCTCAGGAGTTTGAACCTAGATCTGCCTGACCCGGGGCCTCCACTCTTGCCCTCTGCAGCCCTGCTCTCAGATGGAAGCAACGGAGCACCTCTGGGCATGCTCCATGGTTTTTCTGGCCTGCAGAGGGCTGGGACTGAGAGGCAACATGTGGAGCTGAGCAGCTCACTTTGGAATCCACAGGCTCGGGGTGGAGTCCAGGCCTGCCTCATCCCCTAGTTCCTTGGTGCTGTGGGCAAAGGACCTGTGTCCCCCACTATAAAACCTGCGACCTCTTGGTTGATGTCACATGCTTCCCCAGGGCCTGGCCCACAGGCGGTGGTTGGGGCACTGATCAAATTTCATTAGCAGGTGCCTCCTAGGGCCCGGGGCAAGGGAGGAGACTCTGCTGAGGGGAAGCCCCCGTCCTGTGTCCCGGCACCCGTGCTGGTGCTGGGATGTCACCTGTCATGGTCCTTGCCCACTTGGTGCTCACCCCCGTGGGGAGAGATGGACAGTTGTTAAGTCTCCCCCCAGATGAATGTGAATGTGCAGAAGGCTCAATTCTTCTAGCGGCATTTATTGTCGCCCACTCTACCTGACCCAGTGTTGGGCATAAGGAAAACAGAGGGAGAGTTAACCTCCACCCTGGACAGAGTTCCAGCCTCAAGGAGGAGCCAGGCGGGCTACAGAAGTCTCACAGTGAGGGAGTCGTCCTGCAGGCTGACAGAAGTTAAAGGACAGATCAGGGAAGGTTTCCTTGAAGAGGTGGCCTTGGGTTCATCCAGGCCTCCTGCCCACTTGTGCCTGGGTCTGCCTACAGGACAGAGGCTGATGGGAAATCCTATGTGAAGTACCAGGTCATCGGCAAAAACCACGTGGCAGTGCCCACACACTTCTTCAAGGTGCTGATCCTGGAGGCCGCAGGCGGGCAAATTGAGCTCCGCTCCTACGTGATGCCCAACGCACCTGTGGACGAGGCCATCCCACTGGAGCGCTTCCTGGTGCCCATCGAGAGCATTGAGCGGGCCTCGGGGCTGCTCTTTGTACCAAACATCCTGGCGCGGGCAGGCAGCCTCAAGGCCATCACGGCGGGCAGTAAGTGAGGGTGGAGCCCAGCAAGGCTGGGCGTGTGCAGGCCGGGGAGCATTAAAGGTGGTGATTTTTGGAGACAAGTCTGGCGGCGTCCATCCCAAGTGACCTGCAGAGCCCCTGGTTTCACTGCTGCTTCACTGATGTCCTGGGCCCCTTAGAACTTTCAGGGGTGCTGGGCACCGGCCTGGGTGAGGCCAGGCTGCAGGGCGGCCAGGGAGATGAGGATGGCCTCCTGGAAGAGAAGTGTGGCAGTGGGCTGGGGACTGGGAGGCTAGCGGGTGCCCCCACTCCTAGCCTGTCTTCAGTGCCTGGCTGCCCAAGACCCAGCCCACTGGGGTCCCCTGTCCTTAGCAGAGCCTGGTGAGGTTAACGACAGGCCCAGGTTCACACTGCACACTTGCCACCTGGAGGACCACATAGCTTCCTCTTCTGAGCCTGAGAAGAGGACCTCAGGCTCCTCTTCTGTAAAATGGGGGTAAAGGTAACAATGCCTACCTCCCAGGGCCAGGGGAGGGCAAGGAGGTGGGCAAGAAGTTCTCAGCCCTCACCAGGGATGGGAAGCGGGGGAGCCAGGGTTCTGGCTGGGGGTGTGGTTATCAGGCTCAGTGCTTGGCTTGGGCGAGGCCTTAGGGATGGGTAGACAGGGCTGTCAGCCCTGCGAGACTGATGGGAGGACCAGCCTTGCCGGCAGTTCCTGTAGCACCGCGTGTTATGCCTGACTCCAAAAGTGGTTCCATGAGGCCCAGGACAAATGCTCCAGCTGCACGTGGCTTCCCCCGTGGGACAGATGCAAGTGAGACCCCAAGAGGAGAGCTGCTGTGCCCACCGTGGTCATACACAAGGAAGGAGCAGAACCAGGGCTCTGGGAGATCACTGAGCACACAGCTAAGGAACCAGAGGCCCGGAGCAGGGGTGGGCAGGGCCCTCTGGGTCACCTGCCTGGGAGCACAGGACGGGCACTAGCACCCATGGTTGACTCTCAGCTACACTCATGTCCCATCGCTGTGGCAAGACTGCTGTGGCAAGAGGCCAAGAGGGGATGAGAGGACCACCTCCAGACAAGGCACCATGGGCAAGGGTGGGTGACAGGGCAAGAGTGGCAACAGCTCCTTGGACAGATCCCAAGGCCCCAGCGGCTGGCGGTCGGGGAGGCAGGCGGGCTCACCTCCGTGCGGATGGTGCGGCTACCCTGGCCAGGACAGGTATTGACGTACAGGTCAAAGAGGACACTGGGTTCAGCCACCTCTAGGTTGGGGTCAGCATCCACTCCAGCTTCCAGCCCCTGGAGGCCCCCGAACACCACAAGAGCATGCCTGGCACATGTAAGAGGGGGTGACTTGAGTGGTCATCAAGGCCCCACCCAGCGCAGTGCCCAGACCTGTCCCTCCATCCCCAGACAGCAGGGGCCCATCTGGGCAGCTTCACCCACCAGGCAGGTTCCTGGCCACATTCCTCCTGCCCTGGTCCCGGCGCCAGGAGGTACACACCTGAAGCTGGGAAGGTGGGCAGAGGCCACATCCGAGCCACGCTCTGACGTCCCGATGGTCAGGTCATACCCGTCCTGGAAGGGGGCCTCAGCAAACACAGCACCTGGGTGTGGGGCCAACTCAGTGCGGGTCCTGCTCCCCACAAGCCGCAGCTCTGGGTATGTGTGTGTGTACTGAGGCAGGGGTGGGTGGGAAGAGCTGTGTGTGTGTGTGTGTGTGTGTGTACTGAGGCAGGGGTGGGTGGGAAGAGCTGTGTGTGTGTGTGTGTGTACTGAGGCAGGGGTGGGTGGGAAGAGCTGTGTGTGTGTGTGTACTGAGGCGGGGGTGGGTGGGAAGAGCTCTGTGTGTGTGTGTGTACTAAGTAGGGGTGGGTGGGAAGAGCTCTGTGTGTGTGTGTGTACGGGTGGGTGACTAGGGTGGGTGGGAAGAGCTCTGTGTGTGTGTGTACTAAGGTAGGGTGGGTGGGAAGAGCTCTGGTGGTGGTGTGTGGTGGTGGTGTACCGAGGCAGCGGTGGGTAGAGCTGTTCCTGGGAAGTCAAGGACTGAGCAGGGCGGACACCAAGCCTGTGCTTGGCTGGGGAACAGGGCAGAGACTGGATGGGAAGAGGCACCAAGAGCATGAAGTGGGCCTCTGACTTCTCTGGCCCTTTTGCCTCCATTCGCAACTCTACAGAAACATTATTGATCAATGATGATACTTTGGCTCAGTAGTCCTTAATGGCATTCCAGGCAGTACATCCAGGGAGAACAAGGCCCAGAGAAGGAAAAGGACTTGGCCAAGGACACACAGCAAGTTGATAGGGCAAAAACCTTGGTCTGATATTTGGGTCAGGCAAGGCTCCCGGCCACCTCCCAGAGGGATGGATGGATATTCAGAGAAGTGAGCTCTGTGCTTACTGAGGCAGGAAGCCAGTCGGACGGTGTAGCCCCAGTAGAGACCAGCTTTGGTGCGAGGGTCCTGTGATGACACCACTTTGCCACGGTAGGTCTTGCATTCTGGAGGGGTAACAGAGTCTGTAAAGATGCGGTGAGGGAATGGAGGGAGGTGGCTGAACCCTGGAGCTCGTCTGGCCAACCCGGGGGCTGGGGAACCTTCCAGATACCTGGGAGCTGCTGCTGGTTCAGTCGCACGGTCACCCGAAGCCCAGGCTCCAGGTTCTTGTCAATCTTCACCTCCTGGGGAGAAGCCAGAAGAAATGGGTGCCATTCCTCTCAAGATCAGCAGGGGCCACGGCTCTTCCAGATGCCACCAGGGGAGCCCTGGGGCTGGCAAGGGACCAAGGGGTCCAGGTCAACTTGTCACCCTCCACCCCTGGCACCAGCTGAATCTGCTCACAAGAGACCATTTTTGCAAAACACAGGTCACTGGCCAAACACGCACCTTTGGGGCGCTCATGGCACAAGGTAGAAGTACATGAAACCCAGTTTTCTGCATTTTGGTAGCTCTGCCACTTTGAGTTGGAGTCTGGCTCTATCACCCAGGCTGGAGTGCAGTGGCGTGATCTCAGCTCAATGTAAACTCTGTCTCCTGGGTTCAAGTGAATCTCCTGCCTCAGTCTCCCGAGTAGCTGGGATTATGGATGCGTGCCACCACACCTGGCTCATTTTTATACTTCTAGTAGAGACGGGGTTTCACCATATTGGTCTCAAACTCCTGACCTGAAATGATCCGCCTGCCTCAGTGTCCCAAAGTTCCGGGATTACAGGCGTGAGCCACTGCGCCTGGGTTGTGCTTTCTGATGGGAGGGGACTCCATACATGTAAAGGTTTCTGCCTCTGATTTGAGAAGACTTGAGGGTAAAGAGGTAGCAAATTAATGCCCTCGTCCCAGCTTGGCTCTGTGCCACACGGGAGCAGCTCCAGAGTGACTTTCAACTTGTTTCTGCAGGGTTTTGTTTGGAGCATGAGAACTGTCTTCTGTTGATTTGCTTTTTAAGCAACAGTAAATTCATTCTTGGCTTTATCTGTTGAGCCCCATTTTGCACAATTCTCTGGCCCAAATTTGCATCAGTGAGGGATTTTGGGGCAGCTCCAGGACTCCCCCCAACATCCATCTGCTTGCACTCCATCGCTAGGGTGTGTCCTGGAGGTGTGTCCCAGCCCACCTCTCTGTTCCTACCTTCTTCATGCCACAGTTGACAAAGGAGCCGTGGCCTGGCCGGGTGGGCCGATCCACCACGATGCCCTCTCGGAACTCGGATTCCTCGTCCTGACGCATGTGGTGGGGGCTGTCCAAGGGGTTCAGGAGCCCTGCGGAGGCAGGGCCGGGAGGAGTCTAGGAAGTGCTAGGGCACACAGGGTGCAGTGGGGACCCTGGAGCAGAGTCCTGGCTCTGCCACAGACCTGCGTCTTGGCATCAGGCACAGGTCTTGCTCTCCCGAGCCTGCTTTCCCACCTGGACAGGGCAGGGTAGGACTGGGTGGTCTCTCAGTGTCTGTGGCACAATCCAGGGGAAATGGGGGGCGGGCCCACACAGTGTTACCTGCAAACTGTAGATCCTGGTGCTTGGGGAAGAACGCCTTCCTCAGGTACCTAGGAAAGAATGCTGACCTCAGGATGGTCCCAGGGGAAGCTACCTCCTCCCTGGCCTCCACTTTGACACACCCCTCCCTCATGCTCAGGGGAGTGACCCCCTTACTGCGGACACTCCAGGTACTGCAGGATCCGGGCCAGCTGTACGCACGCCTGCCCCTTCTTCCCAACTCCTGTGAATTCCCCCTCCACGGTCCTGGAGAGAGAGAGACGGGGGCTCAGGATCCAGCTGTGGCCCCTTCAAGAACTCCTCTCTACAAGTGCACGCCTATAATCCCAGCTGCTCAGGAGGCTGAGGTGGGAGGATCACCTGAGCGCAGGAAGTAGAGGCTGCAGTGAGCCATGACCATGCCACTGCATGCACTCCAGCCTGGGTGACAGCTGAGATACGGGTTTAGACCTTCTGGCTCCCAATCCCACCTCTGCAGTCATCACCCCCACCTGGCAACTCTACCCCCTAAGGATTACAGAAGGAGTATTTCAGGCAGGACACGAGGGAAGAGCCAGGCATATGGACAGGGGCAGGGTGAAGCCTCGGCCCATCCCGGCAGCCCCTCCCTCTCCCTGAGCCCTGGCACCCTGTGGGATGGCCCCTCACTTGGCATCCTGGCCCTCCTCATCAAACACCACGATCTCATCCACACAGAAGATGGCACAGGCTCTGGCAATCTGACCGGCCAAGTAGGTCCGAAGCTCCGGCGACTGAGCATTGTCCAGGATGGAGCCCGGCAGGGCTACACTCAGTGTGTAGGGCCGCCCTGAGCAGGGGAGGGGTGTTCCCAGTCAGCCTGAGAGGCAAGGGCCCCCCACCTTCCTCTCTCTTTCTCTGTCCCCAGCGTCCATGGTTTGAGAATTTCCCAAGTGGGAGGAATTTTGAGATGAGCAAAATAGATTCAACTCCCCTCTCTGGGCCTCAGTCTCCCAGGAGGAAAATGGACACGGCAATCTCCATGGCTCCTCTGAACAGGGCAGACCACTGGGCGAGGCTATGGAGCAGTTAGGAGCAATGGCCTAAGTTCATATCCTGGCTCTCCCACTTAGTGCCTCAGTTCTCCAACTATCAAATGGGGATAAAATGAAAGCTGATATCCAATAAAGCTGATATCTAGTGTGTGCACATTAACCCGATAGCCATTAACCTGATCCTTAGTGAGGATACTGCCATTATCCCCATTTATAGACCAGGAACCTTCAGCCCCGGGAAGTCAAATACATGGCCCAAGGTCACACAAAAGGTGGCTCATGCCTGTGATCCCAGCACTTTGGGAGGCTGAGGCGGGCAGATCACCTGAGGTCAGGAGTTCAAGACCAGCCTGGCCAACATGGTGAAACCCTGTCTCTACTAAAAATACAAAAATTAGCCAGGCATGGTGGCGCATGCCTGTAATCCCAGCTACTCCAGAGGCTAGGGCAGGAGAATCCACTGAACTGGGAGGTGGAGATTGCAGTGAGCCGAGATCGCGCCACTGCACTCCAGCCTGGGCAACAGAGTGAGACTGTCTCTCAAAAACAAAAAATCCCAAGCAGCACATAGATAACAGGGTTTCACTGTTGTAACATTGTATCTATACTTTGCTATGCAAGGCAAGGATAAGTAGATATAATTGTTTGGACAAACTTTTGCTACAATGTTTGCTGGGATTGTTCCTTTCTTCTTTGTAGTTTTTTGTTGTTATTATTATTATTGAGACAGAGTCTCACTCCGCTCTGTCACCTAGGCTGGAGTGCAGTGGCGTGATCTTGGCTCACTGTAGGCTCCGCCTCCTGGGTTCACACCATTCTCCTGCCTCAGCCTCCCAAGTAGCTGAGACTACAGGTGCCTGCCACCTCACCCGGCTGATTTTTTGTATTTTTAGTAGAGACGGGTTTCACCATGGTCTCGATCTCCTGACCTCGTGATCTGCCCGCCTCGGCCTCCCAAAGTGCTGGGATTACAGGCATGATCTGTCATTTTTATTATGAAATCAAAATAAATGAAAAATGAAATTAAAGCACACAGAAAATGCTCAATAAGTCAAAAAATCAGGAAGATCATGAAGTTCTAGAGGTCTAAGAGATATGAGGCTTGGGCTGGGCATGGTGGCTCACGCCTGTAATCCCAGCACTTTGGGAGGTGAATTGGGCGGATCACCTGAGGTCAAGAGTTCAAGACCAGCCTGGCCAACATGGTGCAACCACATCTCTACTAAAAAATACGAAAATTAGCCAGGTGTGGTGGCACACGCCTGTAATCCCAACTACTCGGGGGCTGAGAGAGGAGAATTGCTTGAACTTGGGCAGTGGAGGTTGCAGTGAGCGGAGATGGTGCCACTGCACTCCAGCCTGGGCAACAGAGCAAGACTCCATCTCAAATAAAAAAAAGAGAGATGAGGCTTACCTTCCATAGGCTTGAAATTTACCTAAGCAGGAGGTCAGAACTTGGTTTGTTGGCTCCCTCCCTTCTCTGGGCCTCAGCTTCTCCATCAGGACAAGATGTTTGGACCTACTTGTCTGTAAGGGCCCTTCCAGATCTGCTCTGCCTCCAGGACAACTACTGTGGGCCACAACCTGTGGCCCTCCCCATGACCCCAGCTCACCGCGGTCCTCCTTCTCTGCTGCTGCCTCCTCGTCTTCCTGGCGCTTTGCCTGTTCCTCCTGTGCCCGCTGCCGCTCCATTTTTTCATCAGCTTGAGATCCTTCCATTTCTTTTTCTCCTCTTTCTCTGGATAAAAGAACATCCCAATTGGCCGAGCAGACAGTTCCCACTCATTGGGTCAGCCTGGACTATGGAGAGCTACTGGGTGAGCAGCCAGAGGGCAGCAAGGGAGCCTCCCCAGGGCTCCCGGACCCTGCCTCCCCACTTTGGGTGCTGCAGGACCCAGAGGGAACAAAGTTGGTGTCTTTCTCCAGGGTTTGAGCACTGGTGGTCTATGGGAGATACTCTTACCCCCACCCTTACTTACTCTGTTGCTTCCATTTTCGCCACTCAATCCTTTGGCCGTGTTCACCCTGGAGAAGGAGTGGTAGGAGGATTATGAGTGTGAGGCTGATGGTCACACCTGGAGGAGGTCCGTTTGCTGCACCACAGCCAGCCCCGCCACACGGGGCGGCAAGGAAGCCAAGGAACCTCTGCAAACTGCTGCCCCAGAAAGCGTCTGGAGGGCAGGGACCCGCTGTATCCCCAGCGCCTGGGGCCCAGCCTGGCACACAGAAAGCGCTCAAGAAACTGTTGAATGAGTTCCCACAGAACAGAGTAGAAAACTGAGGCTCAGGGGACAGGACTGCCCACAGTCGCCCTGGAAGTCAGAAGACATAAGCCACGAAAGGGCACCGGATTCAGGATTGAGAGCAGGGTCCCGCCTCCGTAATCCAGCGGGGGCCAGGGAGCCGCAGGGGGGTTCCGGAGAGGACACAGGCGCTGTTCCCATCCTGCTGCGGCTCACGCCGCACCTTCGGGGCTTCCGGCCTGGGATCAGCGGGAAGCAGGCAGCAGGAGGCGCGGCCCGGTCCCAGCGGAGGTCCGCAAGCCACTGGTCCTCACGCCTCCCCCGTGCTGCCCTGCGCGGGGTCCCGCCGCCCGCACTTACCGGGCCGCACGGCCGCTTCCTCCCGCGCTCCGCCATGTTCCGCACACACCGTCGGTCACGCCTCTGCCAATGAGACTCGCCTCTTCCGGCCACACCTCCATTAAATTGTCCAATCGGAAAGCCAATGTCGCCCGGGGGCGTGGCCTGGACGCCAGAGCGTTGCAGGAGTACACCGGCTGGTGTAGGTTGGGGGGAATAGGTGTCCAAATGGGCGGCATCACGGGTACTGTCCAGAATTTTGGATGGCTCTGAGTTGGGACAAACACAACACTCAGATCTCTGAGTAGTTTATTTGTTAAAAAAAAATTTTTTTGAGACAGGGTCTCGCTCTGTTGCCGAGGCTGGAATGCAGTGGCGCGATTCTAGCTCACTGCAGACTTGAGCTCCTGGGCTGAAGGAATCCTCCCACCTTAGCCTCCGAGTAGCTGGAACCACAGGTGCGCACCACCACGCCTAGCTCCTGTAACGCTTTATACATGGGGACCCCGGGGCCTTGAGCTGCAGTGTGATTCGGAGCTGAAAATGAGATAATTTAATCCAGGTTTCTTGTAGATTCGTTCATGTGCTCTTCCTTTTTTTTGAGACAGAGTCTCGCTTCACTGCCCAGGCTGGAGTGCAATGGCGCGATCTCGGCTCACTGTAACCTCCACCTCCTGGGTTCAAGCAACTCTCCTGCCTCAGCCTTTCAAGTAGCTGAGATTACAGGAGCGCGCCACCATGCCTATCTTCCAGAAACTCCAAGGATTTTAGGAATTCTTTACTAAGGACCGGGGCAAAGACCTAATATGTATTTTATTATAAGATATATTCCTATCAGCTCACCCAGTTAAACATGATATGAGCCAAACCCATGTGCTTGCTATGCAAATGCAACTTCGAGACCAGGCCCCTAACACCACCTTCCAACGAAATTCAGGAGCTACTATTGCTATCCAGTGAGACTCAATCGGAGCCAGCTAGAAGGCCTGGCCTGGGCACACCACTTCACCTCACCTCCAGAGGGCTTTCCTCACTTGTGAACTGGAGATAACTCAGGTCTCAGTCTCAGAGGGCTGTGTAAGATAATGTGCGTCTGAGTGCCTGGCAGGTAGGGCATGCACGATCAACATTCAGTCCTCCTCCTCCTGAGAATTATTTAAGTCCCGGGTCCTCCTGGCCCCCACTGTGCTGTTCTCTCACCCCTGTGGGAATGTCCATGTCTTCCTTGTCACAAGCCCCAATCCTCTCCACACACACACACACACACACAACACCCTCACCCCACCCACCACACCCAGCACCAATAACTGCTACCATCAGATTAATATGAGAGGCCAGGTATGGCGGCTCACGTCTGTAATCCCAGCACTTTGGGAGGCCGAGTCGGGTGGATGACCTGAGGTCAGGAGTTTGAGACCAGCCTGGCCAACATGGTGAAAACCCATCTCTACAAAAACACAAAAATTAGCCGGGTGTGGTGGCGGGTGCCTGTAGTCCCAGCTACTCAGGAGGCTGAGGCAGGAGAATTGCTTGAACCCAGGAGGTGGTGGTTGCAATGAGCCGAGATCATGCCACTGCACTCTAGCCTGGGTGACAGAGTGAGACTCTGTCTAAAAAACAAAAACAACAACAACAAAAAAGATTAATAGTAAGGAATTCATTTGGGGGCCTTGGGTGCTAGGCCTGGTTGTGCCACTAACTATGTGACTACAGAAATCATTTGTACAAAGTTGTGGGGGTGTCTGAGGTTCTCCCAGGCATTCTTACCAAGTTAGATCAGCCATCAGCTCGAGTGTGAAACAGAGAGGAAATGTCAGAAGGATTTGAATAACTTAAACATTTTATTATGGATGAAAAGGAGTGGCTTGAGCACTCAAGTCTAAAGGCAAATCCCCAAGGCCAAGATGAGCCAGGAAAGGTGAGGTTATGCCTGAGCCTTAGCAGGGCCCATGCAGGGCTGGGATGTGATCGATACACGGTGGGACTCTACTGTTGGTCTCGGCCAAGCCTGGAGAGACCAGAAGCAACCCAAGACCCTACAAATCCACCTACAGAGGAGCCGAGAGAGGCCCAGGTCAGGCCGCCCTCACCTTTCAGACAGGAGGCACTTGGTCCTGTAAGATGAAGAAGGGCGGCTCCCACCCAGAACATTCTGTGTCACAGAGAAGAGGTTTCCCAACAGCATCTTCCCCGACCCGGAAATGTCTGAAACCTGGACAAAGACAGACACCCAAGAGTATCTCTGCGGGCAGGTGGGGATGTCAGGGCCAAGGTATGACTTCAGGGCTAGAGCTCCGCCTTCCACTTCCGCAGCTTCTCGTCCATGGCCTGGAGCGTGGCTTCATCCTGCACCAGCATAGGTTAGTCCCACACTCTCCCCCTGCCCCCAGCAGGCCTTGGGAAGCTCTGGGAGGTCTCTCCTCCCCCAGCCCCGCCCTTTACCTTCACAAAACAGAAGCGGATATAGTGGTCAAAGTGCTTCTGATGTGGCACACTGCAGAAGATGGAGACAGGGATGGCCACCAAGCCCTGGGGAGGAGGAAGGACATGTCTCAACACGGCTTCGTGGCCCAGCAGGCCTTGGCCCCGGAGGGGACAGACGGGTTCCCACAACCAGGAGAGGAAGGAGAGTTAGCTCCAATCCTGCACCTAGTGCTGCATCAAAGTCACGGGAAAAAGGCCGGGCGTGGTGGCTCATGCCTGTAATCCCAGCATTTTGGGAGGCTGAGACGGGTGGATCACCTGAGGTCCGGAGTTCGAGACTAACTGGCCAACATGGCCAAACCCCGTCTCTTAAAAATACAAAAATCAGCTGGGCGCTGTGGCGCATGCCTGTAATCTCAGCTGCTTGGGAGGCTGAGGCAGGGGAACTGCTTGAGCCCAGGGGTGGAGGTTGCAGTGAGCTGAGATTGTGCCACTTCACTGCAGCTTGGGTGAAAGAGAGAAAATCCGTCTCGAAACAAAAACAAACACAAAGTCAGAGGAAAAGGATCCCGGAACGCCGTTCCAAGTCCCTCCCTGGGCATAGAGGGCAGACAGACGCTGAGAGAGGGAAGCTCACGGAGCAGGTCAGGGCAGAGCCAGAGAAGAACAAAGCCTTAGAGTCACAGATCGAACCTGGATGGACCTCAGAGTTAATGGTCCAGCTCCTCACTGTACAGATGGGAAGACGGAGATCCAAAGAGGCAGGAAATCCTGCCAGCCCACACAGTATCTCTGTGCAAGTGAGAAACAGGTTCCTTGGGCCAGGCATGGTGGCTCACGCTTGTAATCCCAGCACTTTGGGAGGCCAAGTGGGGTAGATCACCTGAGGTCAGGAGTTGGAGACCAGCCTGACCAACATGGTGAAACCCTGTCTCTACAAAATTACAAAATACAAAAATTAGCCAGGCGTGGTGGTATGTGCCTATAATCCCAGCTACCCAGCTACTTCGGAGGCTAAGGGAGGAGAATCACTTGAACCCTGGAGGTGGAGGTAGCAGGGAGCTGAGATTGCGCCCCTGCACTCCAGCCTAGGCGACAGAGTGAGACTGTCTCAAAAAAAAAAAAAAAAAAAAAAAGCCTGGGCGCGGTGTCTCACGCCTGTAATCCCAGCACTGTGGGAGGCCGAGGCAGGCAGATCACAAGGTCGGGAGATCAAGACCATCCTGGCTAACACGATGAAACCCCATCTCTACTAAAAATACAAAAAAAATTAGCTGGGCGTGGCGGCAGGCGTCTGTGGTCCCAGCTACTCAGGAGGCCGAGGCAGGAGAATGGCGTGAACCCGGGAAGCGGAGTTTGCAGTGAGCCGAGATAGTGCCACTGCACTCCAGCCTGGGCGACAGAGCGAGACTCCATCTCAAGAAAGGCGAAAAGAAAAGAAAAGAGAAGAGAAGAGAAAAGAAAAGAGAAAAAAGGCTCCTCGTTCTTTTAAGTGGATACAACCCTGCCCCAAGGTTCACGGCAGAGGCAGACTAGGATCTGGCCCAGGAGCCTCTTGCCTGGGCACCCTTGAGCAGCACACAACCTGTGAAACCACACATGGCTGCACGGCAGAGGCCCAGCCCACCTTGTTCTTGATCATCCACTTGACAAAGCGTCTGTCATAGGGCTCATCCACAGCTCCAGGCAAGTCAGGCATCTTCCTCTCTGGGAGACAGAGGCCACACTGAGCCCCCTGCAGCCTGCAGCCTCCAGCCCCTGCGCCCTGCCCAGAGCGGCCAGTCTCACTCACTGAAGTCTGAGATGTCTGTGATGAGGAAGTAGCTGCCCTGGGGGACGATGGGCTTCAGGCCCACTGACTGTAGGCTGCGTACCATGTGGTCCCGGCAGCGCTGCATGGCCTGCGGGAACTGCACAAAGTAGCTGCTGGGTTGGCCGAAGAGCAGCTGCTCCCGCTCAAAGCTCTCGGCTACTGCGGCCTAGGCAGGGCAGACAGACACCCAGACAGATTAGCTGTTCCCTGACGCGGGGGCCAGCCTGGGCTCTTTCATTGTCTCCCTGCTCCCCCATGGCGTCCCCTGCCCTCTTCACCTGGCTCTGCGTGGGGCAGTGGAAGATGGAGTTCTGGTGCACGGTCCGCAGGTGCTTCATGATGTGATCTGGACCCAGGACCCAGCCCACCTGGAGCAGGAGCACAGGTAGTGGGGGAGGTCCTTCCAGGCCTGGCTAAAGCCTTCTTCATTCCCAGGCCCACCTCACTTGCCAAGGATCTTGCAGGGGCTGGTGACTTCCCACCCTCAGCAACTCACCTTCCAGCCAGTGGCGCTGAAGGTCTTGCCGGCGCTGCCGATGGTCAGGGTCCGTTCCCACATGCCAGGGAGGCTGGCTGCCCAAGGCCGAACAGAGCAGCTGCTGAGACTGGGGTGAGGGGTAAGGGGAAGGGTGGTGGTCTGGGCCCCAGGGGGCACCCATAGGCTCTTGACTTCCTGGACTCCTCTACATACTAAGCTATTTGCAGAATTTCTTTCTTTCTTTTGTTCTTTTTTGAGATGGAGTTTCGCTCTGTTGCCCAGGCAGCAATGCAATGGCACCATCTCAGCTCATTGCAACCTCCGCCTCCCGGGTTCCAGTGATCCTCCTACCTCAGCTTCCTGAGTAGCTGGGACTACAGGCACGCACCACCATGCCCAGCTAATTTTTGTACTTTTAGTAGACACGGGATTTCACCATGTTGGCCAGGCTGGTCTCGAACTCCTGACCTCCAGTGATCTGCCAGCCTCAGCCTCCCAAAGTGCTGGGATTACAGACGTGAGCCTGTAATCCTATGCCCAGCATAGGATTTCTTTGACCTCATCCTTTCGACAACCAGGGGGGCAGATGCTATTGTTTTTTGTTTTCCTGTGTACTCTGGGAGGCAAAGGTCACAGGATCTGCAGGGCTCCAGAACCCTGGGTTCTAACTACCAGGCCTGCGCTGACTCTCAGGTGGGGTCAAGGCCCTGCCACCAATGTGCAGGGGAGGGGCCCTGGGCAGGCTTGGCTCACCAATGCTGATGTGAGGATGCCCATCGTAGACCATCCACTGGTAGACTTCATCAGTGATACACACCACATCATGCTGCTGGCACAGGCTGGCCACCAGCTCCAGCTCTTCCCTGGAGAACACCTGTGGATGCCCAAGGAGAGCCCAGACCTGCAGCTGAGACCATCCCCAGAACACAGCTGCGGCCAGTGCGGTGGCTCACGCCTGTAATCCTAGCACTTTGGGAGGCCAAGGCGGGCAGAACACTGGAGGTCAGGAGTTTGAGACCAGCCTGGCCAACATGGAGAAACCCCGTCTCTACCAAAAACACAAAAATTAGCTGGGCATGTTGGCAGGTGCCTGTAATCCCAGCTACTCGGAAGGCTGAGGCAGGAGAATTGCTTGAACCCAGGAGGCGGAGGTTGCAATGACCCAAAATCACACCACTACACTCCAGCCTGGGAGACAGAGCGAGACTCCGTCTCGAAAAAATGAATAAATGGCGAATACGGCCAAGCCCAGTGCTATGGGCTGTTCCATACCATTGCACTGGATCCCTGCAACAATGACCCACGAGGTCAGTTCCCTCAGGTTCCCACGTTACACATGAGATACTTTGAGAAGCATAGTCACTATTCCATGGTCACTGGGAAGTGATGGGGGCTCCCAGCCCAGTTCACTGTTCCAGCCCTCAGGCCTTCCCTGGGTATTCCTGCCCCTGTCCTGGGACCTCTGGAGCCTTGGTCCTCAGAGCTCATTGTGTGTGGCCCTCCCACACGGAGGCCCCACAGCAGCAACTCAGTAACGGTGCAGGAGACATGACTAGCTCTGCAGGGGGCCAGGGAAAGAGGTCCCTCCAGTACCTTGCCCAGGGGGTTGTTGGGGGTGTTGAGGACCAGGGCTTTGGTGCGTGATGTGAATTTGCTGGCCAGCTCCATGGAGTCCAGCTGCCAGTTGCTGCTGGAACCCAGTTCTCCATTCTGGATGGGACCCTGCAAGGTGGCAGGGGCGGCACCACTTACCCACCTGACGTGCAGCTCTTCCCCCAGCATCCATCCCCACCTTCTCTCCCCTGGGATCCCAACACACACACCTCCCCTCTGCCCTCCCAGCTTAGGGGAACTGGCTTCCTTCACTTCCTTCCTCCTGTTCCAACGCCCAGGGTCCAACTCAGCCCGTGCCTTGGATCCCTCTGCCCATCCATCCTCTACCTAGCATCCTTACCGGCTTCAGGGGCACAAACACAGGGCGACCCCCTGCCATCACTGTCATGGGCTCGTAGCAGTCAAAAAAGGGTTCGATGATGATGACCTGATAGAAGGTTCAAATCAGCTGGAGTCAGCACGGCCCTGACCTCTCGGTCCCACTCAGCCCAAGTCTTGCCCACTCACCTCATCTCCTTCGTCCACCAGGGCCTGGAAGGCTGTGAACAGGGCCCCATAGCCACCGACAGTCACGAGCACATTCCTGAGCGGGTCCATCTCCTGACCCAGAAGCTTCCCAAAGAAACTTGCCAGGACCTTCGTCAGCGGTGGGTAACCCTGCCAGGACAGCGGGGGTCAACTGTCCAGCTCAGCCGGGCCCATCCTCCTGCCCAGCTGTATCCAGGCAGTTCTAGCACCTTCCAGCAGCAAGCCTGGGGCAAAGTCAGATACTGGTAGCCTGGGCCCCAGGGGACATGGAATAGATTAGCTTTCAACACGCTGGATTTCTCTACACACCAAGCTATTTGTGGGA